TCCGTAATCGTAAATGAAGATGAAAGTGGCTTACGCGCCTACTTCTGCTCTTGGAACAGCAGGTTCACTCCTTTCTTATCTAGTCAATTGGCCTATCGATCCTGAGCCGATCGGTAGGTAAGGGAAAGTTGATCTAGCCCCCCTTTCCAATGTGAGGAGGCAAGGCGGTAAAGCGTTACCTTTCTACCCTATCCCTATCTTTATAGTTGCTTCGCGCTCCTGTACTGGATTATCCCTGAAAGTGAATGTTCCAGTGAAAGCAGAATCCCAATATGCGTGAGTTAGAGAAGGAAGTGCCAGTTTTGACAGTATCAATCCCTCAGTATCCATGATAGGGTTTAGTGTAAGCAGCCATCTTTGTTGCCATTCCCAGCTATTCTTTATTTGGTTTCAGCCCATGCGAGAGCCAGGAAGTTAAAAAGCAAGGGAAGGGTGTGCTAGCCAAGACGAGTCTCCACTGTTAGCCAAAACGCTAATCTCTTCTAAGCCCTTACCCTGCTAACCTCTTTGAAAGAAAGTAAACCTCTTTCAGACTTTTATATAGGAGAAAGATGAATTGCTCATCCCAATGGATAAGGCCTATTCCCTGCTCGTAAATTAACGGTTTAAGTTCCTTTATTTCTTCTGCTTCTGACTGTCACAAGCACAAGCCATTCTTCCTCTATGATTAGGATATGATTCACTTTCAAACTGAACAGGGCATTCTATCTGATCTTCCGAAAGATCTCCTTCTTGCTAACATTCGGAAAAGGAAGAGCATATTCTAACCCGCGTAGAATGAAGACTTGTCTTACCGCATACCAGTTGCATGGGAAGACCAGAAGCGGGGTGAAGAATATAATGGCGGACGATCACATCGTCCGATAGCTAAATGGATGGTACTTGGCTAACCCGAATCTCTTCACTCCTCATCTCACTCACTTGAAGACCGACCGAATGTGGACATTAGCAGCGCGTAGTCCTTCACCACAGAACTCCCTCAGCTTACTTGCTTCCTTAAGCCAAAAGCACCAAGAGTAGCTACTCCGACAAGAGCAGAAAAGGCACCAACATCGGTGACTAGTAGGGATTCCACCAGTTCCAGTTCAGGCATCATCCTAATCATCAGATAGGGAAGCCGGGATCCTCTACTTAATTCCCGGAAGTGAAAGAACTCTCCTTTATTTCCATTTTTTAGGAAGTTGCTTGCTCACTCACCTCACTTTATTTTTAGTTCGAAAAGAGCTAATTCGAATCTCGATCTCTGGAATCGAAACCAAGACCAACGAGCCCCGTACTCCTAAGTTGGCAAGCGAAAGACTTACGACTTTGAATTGAGGTAGAATCCTAAGGAAGCTCTTTCAAGTCCTCTGGGCACAAAGGAACTACACACTAAATCAGTGTATCTCTTTAGTGATCAGTCTTTTCTGCTCTTAATAGAGAGCGCAGTTCCAGCATCATCCTAATCAGACTATTGCTCGTACCTAATCACTGCTTAAACCCTCGGTGAAACTGGCTTAAGCCCGACTACAGAGCCTATCTATATAGGGATATACGTGAACCAAAGCACATTATAACTCCCTTTGGCACAAAATAAAGTCTGCTATCAAATCAAAATCGTCTTCTGTGTGGGATGCCAGGTTGTGAATTGTAAACTCTCCGTTCCTTCTTGACTCGCCTTCAGTCTTGATGGCTGCTAGATTCCTAAACAGGATTTCTGTTCTATGAGGTAAAGGCCCGGCCGCACGAAGCAAGAGGAAATAGGTATAGGCTGGATCAATAAAAGAAAGATAACGAAAGTGTAAAAGATTCCAATCGGGCTGGCTCAGAAGGAAGGTGGCGGCGAGGAAGGGTATTTAGAATCTCGTAGCATAGCACGGGACCGTGCCAAGCTGTAAGCATAGCGATTAGGTATGGGCTTTCTTTTCACTACCAGAATAAGCAGTTGGCCTATTGTTGATCAAAGTCTGGGTTGGCGGTCCCTAGTTATAGATAGGCTTTCGCCTTCCTTTTTCCGTCCAACGAGGATTTTAGTGTTTGGAGAATTCTTCCTATTTGACCCGATGCCGTACCCTTCATGTGTTCATGATACAGGGCCGGGGTACATCTTCCACAAAAACATCGACTACGAGGATTGATAAGTTGTTCATTTGATAACCTTCACCTCTATCTACACAGTTTTCATTTCTACGTCTTCGACGAGCAAGACTTCACTGCTGACATAGGGTGAGGTTTCAACAGGGCAAGCGGAGATTCTCCAACCTGCGGTCAGCTATGATATACTAAACTTCTTCTTTTCACCTCCCTCTTCGATCGATCCGGAAGACGTTCCCTTAGCAGTTGACATCTCAACAGAGTCCTCCGGTCGAGTTGGAAAAACAACCCTTGAGACCTACGAGCTCCTAAAGCAAAGAAAGAAATAGACAGACTTAGACGAGGGCATCTTGAACCCCTCTCCCTATGGTCCGGTCGAGTTAGCCCATGACCTCAAGATCAAGAAGAGCCAGCCATACATAGAAGACAAGGAAGACCTTGCTCGACCAATGAGCGTAGCAGCAGCATCATGAGATAGAACCCGGTCCTGTCGTCCCCCGGCTGTCCATCTGTGGAACATGGGGCTGAAACACCTCTAGAGTACCTACTAGAAGAAAGACAGAACCACTTGGTTTGGTTGGCTAGGGGGAAAAAGCCTTAGGAGGAAGAAGCAGATGGAAGACAGGGTCACTTGTGAAAGAAAGCCTAGCCGAAGGGGGACGACCATCACAGTTGGGGCGGTGGATGACAGGCTGGCTAGCTCACCAAGACATCAGGAGAGGTTGGGGAAGACTTGGCTGCGGCAAGTCAAGGAGAGGTTAGGTCAAGGGATTTCAGACAGAAGTCCCATCAATCAATCAGAATAAAAGGATGTTCCAGGAAAGAGGGGAACAAGGATATCCAAAAGAATAGGCCTTGAAGGAAGGCATGAATGAGGGGAGACCGGTCTAAGGGCAACAAAACAAGCTATGCTACAAGGTTTTAATCAGTCCACTAAGGGATGACCTCTTCTACATGATTTCAGCGAAGTGTTCAAGTCAAGGCCCTAGACTAACTACAAAGGGCGATCAAAGAAAAGAAGACTTGAAAAAAAAGCCTTCTATCCCACAGCTAAGGCATCCATCCAATACAGATAGAGCGTCATATAAAATGACTCTATCCTTTGGAAACCACCTATTCCTCTCATCGACTACCTTCACTAGGGTTAAGATTCATGGTTTTCTAAGGCGGCCCATTAGCTTCCTTTGATGGAGCAAGGGATTTCGTCTCTTTCCTTCTGGGCCAGGAATGGAAGTTGTCGTTAAGCTTCTTTGGATCAATCGATAGTGTGCTTATCGCTCTACTTCGCTTGATTCTCATGCCAGGTGTGGTTTTGGGACTGGACTCGTCGCTCAGCTTTAGGCCTTATTAGCTTCATTTCTGAAGTGAGCATGAAGTCCGAATTGAATAGATACTGAGAAAGCGTCTTTCGTGATTAAAGTTGCAAGTTCGGATTCAGGATTGAGAAAGAAATCAGCAAAGCGCAGCTGGAGCTTAATCTATTATAGCGTAGGGTAGGCTCTTTGGATAGATTGACTGGCTTAAGCCGATGAACCAGCTTCTACCACTGACGAGCTAATTCGGACTATGCCTAACTAGAGGAAGAGGAAGAAAATCACCTGGTCCGAATCTTGGCTCGGCATCTTTTAGGGAATCAAATATCTGGTAAGAAAGGGCGAGTCGGCTACTCGAAGCGGAGAAGCAAGAGCTCACTCGACCCATAGGAATAGGGAGGAAGTTTCATTCCAAAACTGCTCTTAGTTTGAGCTAGGAGATGGGACAATACGCTGTTAGTTTGAGCTAGGAGTTTCAAACTGAGATTTTACTTTATAGTAAAAAGGGGTTTACCAGATCGAAATACCTGTAGCAAACGGGATTGATTCCACTTCCTTGTTAAGTACGTCCCCTCTTCTCTCTTGCCGATTCCGAACTCCAGGAGGAGAGTAGCTCAGCCGACTAAAGCTAAAAGCAGAGTTGGAGCTTGGCAATGCAGTTGATCTTCTTGCAGCTGAGAGAGATGCTGGCATTGAATGAAGCTGATTCCCCCGTACTACCAATAAATATTTCAATAGTTAGAATCCTTATTACTAGAACTGGCTCTAAGAGACCTGCTGTAACCGTTATTGGGGAACTGCTACCGTAATCCGGACTACATATTCCACTAGGCTAGTTCTTTATTACTTTATTTTTCTTTAAGGAGAAGCGGATCGATCCACTTTTCATTTATCAAAAACGTGACTCCCCTAAGCTAAGTAAAACTGCACTGTCGGAAAGACAGCCTAGAGCGATCAGGCTTCCGGTCGAGGCATACTATCTAAGCTACTCTCCTAGTGGTTTTTTTAACAGATCCACGCGCTCGATCTTATATATGTCACCTGCTTCACTTTTAAACCCCATATTCCCGCAAGCCATGTCGAGTTCACAACCTAGGGCAGAAAGCGAAAGGCTAGAATGATTTAAATAACGTACAAACGCGAAGAAAAACCTCCTGCAGTACCGGCCGTGTCCTTGGCTCTCACTCCCATGAATCAGATAGTGCCATACGTCCCACCACAACCGTCCGATCCTCTGATTCGGAATCGGAAGAGGAATCGGAAGGAGAAGATCAGTCGCCTTGAACGGGCAGTTAATAAGTTGAGTTGAGTAGGGACAACAAGTATGATGTTGCAGATCTTGATAATCTCTCCCTATACCCCCCAAAGTCAGGCTTCCGTACGGTTTTCAGTGGCCAAAGATAGATAAGTTAGTTATTGATAAAGCGGGTTTCGTCTCATTTTCCGGAAAGCCAGTCATACTATTCCACTTTAGCTAAGCTAATGATGAAAGAGGATCTGGATTTGTCTGCAGATGATGATGTCCACTCCTGGCTCGATGCGCTTAACGAAAGGGAACTCTCTAGATTAATAAAGAATTTCCTTAGTAATTAAGCAGCATCCTTTAAGTGAGTAGGGGTGCGCCGGACCGCCGACGAATAAGAGGTACCCCCACACCCCAGGCAGAGTTAGTGAGCCGTGTAATAGGCGACCATTTCGCGCGGTTCGGGGGGCACACTTGAGTCAGCCGCCGGCGCATAAGTGAGTAGGGGCTGCGTCTTGACCCCTATCCAATTTTTGGGCCAATTCCCCCTTCGTACTACCAAAAAATGAGATTCTTGCCGAATCCGAGTTTGCTGCTCCAACCATTACCAAACTAATACCTATTCTGTTAGTACTTCAGTGCTTCTGTTGCGTATAATGTAAATCCCGTAGCGGATCAATTCCAACGAGCCTTTCAAACGAGTACTTTTAGTAATCGACTCTATAGCTTCTTCAATAAACGCTGGTTCTTCGATCAAGTTTTGAATGACTTTATAGTCAGATCGTTCCTGCGTTTCGGATATGAAGTCTCATTCGAAGCTTTAGACAAAGGTGCTATTGAGATATTGGGCCCTTATGGTATCTCGAGTACACATTCCGACGATTGGCCGAGCGGATAAGTCACTTCAAAGTGGATTTGTTGTGCGAAGAGTGCGTTATGACCCGTGGCCGCCTGCCTGGTCTGGTGGGGCGGCTCCTCCGTTGTGGGTAAACGGGAAACCCGACTCTACGAACCCGAGGAAAGGCTGCAAAGCAGTAGTAGGGGCGTTCAGACCGGAGCTTTTTGTAGTGCTAGCAGGAATGCAAGTGAATGAATCCCATCCCCTAGCGTACAGAAAAGAAGTGCTTACGCCCCTAATACTGATTAGAGATAGGGGCGCGCTAGCGCTTTAATAATAATAATAAAAATAGAAAAGGGGCTGAGAAAAGCTTGCTGTCTACTTCTCGAGCCTTCACTGCCCCGTTCTTTAACTTCCCTTCTTTAGTCCGTCCACGAGGCTGTAAAAGAGAGAGATGGGGCGGCTATATAGCGGGAGTCGTTTCGGTTGTATGCCACGAGGTCCCTATGGACAAGGGGACAAGTGAATCATCGCTTTTGGGCGCAGGCAGCCCTCTACCATCCATCCCATTGCATTCCATCGTCTCGTATTGTACTGTACCGTACCAGACCAGATACATCTATTGAGTGAGAGAAAGGTAGCTTCTCTATATATATATCTTAAAATTTTATATTTATAGGGATCCCCAGATTCCCGTCACTACGGATTTTTTTTCTCTACCTAACTACATGGTAGTGGTCTAGGGAGCGCAATTGCTAGAGCACGGGAGAATGAAGAGTAATGATTTCAGCAAGAGCAGCCGGACGGACTACTATAGTGAGTCCAGTGACTACTAGAGTAGAGTTGAGTCAAAAGGTATGGTATAGCTGCCTGTCCGAGTCCGAGCGAGCCTCTGGGATCTCCTGTAAACCCCCATGATGTGGTAAAGTAAAGGGAGTATTAGGGGAAGCAGTGAGTGGAGATTCCCCTGCAGAGAGCCGGATGAGGGGGGACCTTCACGTCCGGTTCGGAGGGCGGGGATATCCCGACCCTACTATCATTATGCCTTTGCAATCTTACTTGGTTCAACTCTATTTGTGACCTTTTTCTCGTATGTGGGACTCTCTATCTTCTTGGGTAGATAATCGATCGTCTTTAATTTTTTATAGTAAGTAGTTTTTATAATTATAAGTCAAGTCAATAATAATAAGAATCGAACTGGAGGAGCGAAAAGCCAGGATGGCTTGGTAAGCAAGCGACCTGTTATGTAGGCGCCAACTCCCATTCTTTCTCTTCTTTCTTTTTTAATGACAGTTCATCAAAACAATTGCTAGATCGAGCACGCGACGCGCATAGTCTTAAGTTCAAGAGCGGGTGTCTCCTCTTCAACATTTCTACTACTTCCTTGCCTCCCCTTTTCAGAGATCTCCTTGTTCTCTTCCCAGATTTTCCTCTATACTTTCGCCGCCTTCTTCATCATCTTGTTCCATCCTCATCAATGAGAGAAGGTGATCCCTCTCAATCGACGGTTCTGGCTACAGACTTTTATCAATCAGCAATGCTATTGATCAACCCCCTTTCTCTGCATTCCAGTTGCAGGCTCCCCTTTTCCTTTATTTATCTCTCTGTTGGATTGGACCGAGTGCTTTCCCTCTCCCGTGGTTGTCCTTCCTTACCTAAAGGCTGCTCTTCTTTTCTCCGCGCCCTTACATGCGTGGAAGCTTAAACTGGGCTTGAAGGCAGAAGTACAGAACTCTCAGGCTGGAAAAGGGAAGTGCTTCCCCGATTCAATTAAGGAATCTCATCTCTCTTCCAATAGAACAGGAAGTCTCAAGTCAGTAGCTTGTCCTTCTCGTGCTCTTCCAATCGCATGAGATGCAGCAACCCATTACGTTCAATCAGCCCTGGCTTCTGTTGAATGAATAGAGGGGTCAGGTGAAGCAGGGGAGTCTATTGCTCTCTTTGTCAAAGCTATCAGACGCTAAGCCAATCTTACTTTTTGGAGCTACCTCTTTTTGTTGTCTCGAGAGGGGGAGAAGAAGATATGACAGCCAAAGCTGAATGCTCACTTATTCACTAGATTCCAAAGCATGCCAAACCTAAATGCCATTAGCTGAATGCGTACTTCATGCCAAGCAAGCTTTCATTTAGTGACGCTTTCAAGCCCAGTTGAAGATTTCCGAGCATTGCACTTAGTCAGTCCAGCTTGC